GTTGCTAACATTTGCATTCTGGCCTCCAGCCACAACCAACTCTTCCACGCTTTGTCCATCAGTCAGTTCTAAAAATTAAAAACCAATAAACTTGGTTTACATTATAATATCTATGTAAATAGTGTCTAACACTAGTGGTAGTAGCTAGCACTTATACAATATAGGATTTATTGTGTACTAGGTTCTTTATGAACATCATTGTTTAATAGTTATAATAATCTGAAGGTCTCTTTTAACAAATGAAGAAACTAAGGCACAGGGAAGTTAAGTAACTTGTCTTAGAACAGGAAATTAGAAAGTAGTTGACCTAGGACTTGAACCCTCACCTATGGAGTGATAGGATAAAATTTTCTTTTCTTTAGGTATAAGTTTAGGGTCCTTGCCAGCTGAAAAGAGAATGTACATCAAGGTCAAATACATATTTTTTATTTCTCTGTTATTTTTTGGGGGGGAGGGGTGGTGATGGTCTTCAGCTCTGTTCAGTTTTCTTTTTTTCCATTTCTGTTAGTGACTAATTTCAGCCACTTCAGGATCTCCCTCCTCAGCAGATGGCCTAGTCTTCCTCTCCATGTGCAAAATTGATTCCATCGGGAGTAAGCACCTGAATCTTCTCCCTTGTTCCAGACTTCTTTACATAAGCATCACATGTCACATCTTACCTCCTTTGAGCCTATCTCAAAGGAAGGGGGGCCCTCCTCCTGTTCAAAGCTAATCCTTGCACATGTTTTTATTCTCATTCCTCTTAAACCTCTAGGACTTTGCGTCACCAGTTTATGCTACTCTATCTCCCATTTTCCATTGCTCCTGATCTGATTCTTCTCCTCAATCTACAAACCTGCTCAAGATTTTCAACTTAGAAGATTCCTCCAAAGCACCTCTTTTTCTAGCTACTGCCAGTTCTCTCATTCCTTCATCAGGGCACTCTTGGAAGAGCAGTCTACACTTATGGATGCCAAGGCTATTGTGGGAGTTCAAATTCATATTTCACTGTCATGCAAATTTCCTTTCATCCCTACTGCATTTCCAGTTGAATTATGTTTTCCTGTGTTTCAATCATGGGTTATGCCAGCAACTCTTTTTAAAGGATCAGTTTGTCCTGGGCAAGAGACTTTGAGCCTTCCCAAGATTCATTAGTAGGGCTACTAAATTTAAGCAAATTATTTTGAAATTATTATACAGATTGTTAGGAATTAAACATTCAACTATAATATGTTTGATTATGAAAGGACATGTCCTTTGAGATGGGGCAATAACTATTGATTTTGTACTTTAAATACTTAAATATTCAAAGTGATTGAATTTAAAGCTCTAGCTAATGCCCTAAAACCTTCATAAAAAACCCCACTTTCCTCAACTAAAAGAAGTGATCACTTTGAATGTGAGATGAAGCCTTGAGTTCTGGTAAGGTGATTTGTCTCCAAGAAAGCAAGGTATGTATTTCCAGTCTGAAAGCAGATGGTCCAGTATGTGGAGAGGCCAAGACTTCCAGTATTCATCCTCATTTTTGACCACCTGTTGTGTCAACATTCCAAAGGTAAAAGATTGTTCAAATACTTTCTTCGAATTCCCTTAAGGGTCTGGGATTTACGGGGTAGTGGCTACCAGCAGTAAAGACTATATATGTCCTGGAATGATTTTCCCTTGAGAATAATCACCTTTCAGTAATGAAATAAGGGACTCAGGCTGTGATTGCTTGAAATTATGCCTAGTCATACAGATAAAGGACTGCCATGTTTAACACAGGGGAATATCCTTTTGGAAGGAACTATAAAACAATTCCTTCAGTTTAAACTTAAGCCACATTTTAATTTGCTCCACATCTGGACCATAAACTTTCTATATGATCTTTTGTTTTCTGGGCATTATCATTGCATTTCCTCCCCTCCCCTACATGATTTGTTATTACTATATCCTAAAATTTCTCCAAATTCTCAACTATACTATCTCTTCTATCAAGTCTCCCTTTCTACCTGGGACTTTCCTTCTAGAGCTGTTCTCTTGTTCCAGTATAGTTACCTTCTAGGCCCACTGCACCATTGAGATCCTGGCACTTCCTTTTGCATGGGTTGGATTCACCTTTTGCTAAGTCTCATGGCTTTTTCTTTCTTAAGTTAATCTTACTCTAATTAGTCTGGGTTTTTTTTTGAAACAGAATCTCGCTTTGTCATCCAGGCTAGAGCACAGTGGTGTCATGATAGCTCACTGAAACTTCAAACTCCTGGGCTCAAGCCGTCCTCCTGCCTCAGACTCCGGAGTAGCTGAGACTGTAGGCATGTCACCACAGTGCACTAATTTTTTTAAAATTTTTTTGTAGAGATGGGTTTTGCTCTTGCTCATGCTGTTCTGGAACTCATGAGCTCAAGCAATCCTCCTACCTCAGCCTCCCAGAGTGCTAGGATTACAGGTGTGATATTTACTGTTTTACTGGAATACTTCGAGACTTCCTAACAAATTGTGTATGGGAGAAAAACTTCCTGAGTCCTTGCCTGCTGCAAATGTCTTTTTTTTACCTCTGACATACTATTGATAGTTTAGGTGAGCATAGAATTCTAGATTGAAAATAATTTTTTATAAAGTCATTAAGGGCATTAAAAAAATTGTTCCACTGTATTCTAGTATCCATTCTGGTTGGTGAGAAGTCATTTGACAAACTAATTCATGTTTCTTTTTAGCAGTTTTTAGGATTCTCTTTATCCTTATCCTTAGTGTTTTGAAATTCCAATATGTGCAAGGGGTGAAGTTTTTACTTCCCCATTTGTTATTCTGAGCACTTAGTGGGACTTCCTGATATGTTTTGTGTCCTTCAACTCTGGGAAGCTGTTTTGCATTGTTTGTTTTGATAATTTCCTCCTCTGTTTCTCTTTCTGGGGTTCCCATTAATCATATGCTGGTCTTTCTATATTGGTTCTGTATATTGCCTATCTTTTCTCTCATATTTTTAAACTTCTAGTTTTTTTCTCAGTGATTTCCTTGACTTAATTTTTTTCAGACTGTCAGTTGTATTTTTAATTTTGGCAATCATATTTTTTAAATCTGCAGGATTTTCTAAGATTTTTCTTTTTCATAGCATTGTCTTTTATTTCATGAATTAATATTGTCTTAAATCTCTCTAAACATATATATTTTTATTTGCAAAACATTCTTTTCTGAATTATTTGTTTTCTTTAGGATAACCGTTTTGTTTGTTTACCTGGTATTTCTCTTTAATTCTGTGGTCCTTCTCAATTGCCTGGTGATGCTTTGTTATTTTAAAGAAAGACACACTGGATAGCTGGTATGGGTTCTAACATTTATATAGTGTTTACCTATGTTTCAGGCACTGTTCTGTGCAAGTTAAATATATTAACTCAATTGTCATCTCAACAACTCCTATTTATGAAGTATTGTTATACTATTTCATTAAATTTAATCAGTTGTAAGATGAACCATTATTTTGTTTACCACTGAGAAGGTAAACAATGCTATTGAAATGTGACATGCCATTATAAGGTTATGAGACATATTCTGATTTTGGATGTGTTAAAAATCTTAGAATTGATGAAACAATACATTACTATTCCCATTTTACAAAAGAAGAACTGAGTCATGGAGAAATTAAATAACTTGCCCCAGGTTACATAGTTAATAA